AACAAGGAGCAAAAAAAAAAAAAAAAAAAAAAAAAAAAAAAACACTCCCCGCTATTAAACAACTAGTGAGCAGGAGAAGTAAGACAGAAACCCAGGGTGAGATTCTAAGACTCATGCTCTCCTCATTCTGAGAGGGCTCCAGGCCCATTGGTATCAGCTTTAACCAATCTACTGCTGACTTCACAAACCCATATGCCCCCAAGAAATCCAGTGGTGTCCTTGAAAGTTAAGACTTCCCTTCAGCTAAAAGAAAACACACTACTTGCTCAACATTGCTAATTATCAGAGAAATGCAATTCAAAACTACAGTAAGGTACCACCTCACACCGGTCAGAATGGCCATCATTAAAAAGTCTACAAATAACAAATGCTGGAGAGGGTGTGGAGAAAAGGGAACCCTCCTACACTGTTGGTGGGAATGTAAGTTGGTGCAGCCACTATGGAAAACAGTGTGGAGGGTCCTCAGAAAACTAAAAATAGAGATAGGGTTGCCATATGATCCAGCAATCCCACTCCTGGGCATATATCTAGACAAAACTCTAATTCAAAAAGATACATGCACCCCTACGTTCATAGCAGCACTACTCACAATAACCAAGACATGGAAATAACCTAAATGTCCATCGACAGATGAATGGATGAAGAAGATGTGGTACATATACACAATGGAACACTACTCAGCCACAGAAAAGAACGAAGTAATGCCATTTGCAGCAACATGGATGCAACTAGAGATTACCATACTAAGTGAAGTTTGTGGAATCTAAAATATGACACAGGGCTTCCTGGGTGGTGCAGTGGTTAAGAATCCACCTGCCAATGCAGGGGACACAGGTTTGAGCCCTGGTCCGGGAAGATCCCACATGCCATGGAGCAACTAAGCCCGTGTGCCACAACTACTGAGCCTGCGCTCTAGAGCCTGCAAGCCACAACTACTGAAGCCCATGAGCCTAGAGCCCATGCTCCACAACAAGAGAAGCCACCGCAATGAGAAGCCCGCGCACCACAATGAAGAGTAGCACCCGCTCGCTGCAACTAGAGCAAAGCCCATGCGCAGCAACGAAGACCCAACGCATCCAAAAATAAATTAAAAAAAAAAAAGGGTGGCACAAATGAACCTATCTATGAAACAGAAACAGGCTCACAGACAGAGAGAACAGACTTGTGGTTGCTAAGGTGGGAGTGGTGGGAGGGACGGACTGGGAGTTTGGGGTTGGCAGATGCAAACTATTATATTGATATATAGACTGGATAAACAACAAGGTCCCACTCTATAGCGCAGGGAACTATATTCAATATCCTGAGATAAACCATAATGGAAAAGAATATGAAAAAGAATGTATATATGTGTATAACTGAGTCACTTTGCTGTACAGCAGAAATTATTACAACATTGTAAATCAACTATATTTCAATTAAAAAATAAATCTAAGAAAACACACTACATTCTGCAATCAGTGAACCACCTAAGGGTCTCCCCAAAGGAAAAAAGAAGCACAAATACTCTTTACAGTGTATTGACCTTACTTCTGAACACCTGGTGAGACAGACTCAGACAATAAAGCTGACTCAGACAATAAAGCTGACAACACTGGGTCAAGTAGAGCTGTCCCTGACATTTGAGCTGGTGGAAATGTAAATCCTAAGAATGACAACCTGGTTGATGATTCTAGACTAAACACGTAAGCAAGAACTTCAAAATGTAGAGGTAACGGCCATCACTGTGCTGAAGTGTTAGGAAGATCACACTTTAACCCCCTATACTTCCCACCCCTCCATTGCCCAAAGCTCACCTGTATTTGCACCTGTTCTTTCCCTTTCCCTCTCTTTCTCTTCCCTCAAAGGCTAGTTAAGCTCAGTCCATGCTCTACATCCTCCCTTCCCTCTCCTCCAGCAATGATTTCCCTTGCTGCTAATTTCCTTCAACGTTTGCCACTGATTCTTTAAAATAACTTCAATTTATTCTTTAAAATAACTTTCCCTTTCTCTTACCTGCCTTCCAAACCTCTCCCTTGAGTTACTCACCTCAAATATCCTTGAAAGTGTCATCTTCACCTACGTTAGACCAGGTGGCTATGCCTTTTCCTCCCACTAGCTCTTTATCTATTTGACCAGCATCACTGTGCTAAAACCACACATCTCACTCCCCTCCTCTGCCTCCCACTCTCAAGAACTTGGTGTGAACCCTTCTGGTCCATTTTAAAAATACTTCTGTTATGTATATAGGTAATCATGAAAATACAGTATTTGGGGGGGGGTTTGATTTTACACATTTGGTATCACACTCTGCAATTTAATTTTTAAAAACTCAACATTAAGTTTTTGAGCTCTCGCCAAAGTCACGCATTTTACATAGCATTCATCCATTCTCCTTCTGATGGACGTTTAAGTTGTTTCCAATTTTCTGCTACTAAAAACAGAAGCTGCAATGAACATCCTCCTTGTACATACATGTAGACCTTCTCGGGGGGACACACCCAACAATGGAACTGCAAATTCATATGGTACTGACAATTTTACTAGATAATTCCAGATCATTCCTTGCAATGGTCACACCAAGATCACTCCCACCAGTGGTGGACAACCATTCCTTTTCCCCTGATATCCTTGCCAACACTTGATACTATCAGACTTTTACATTTTTGCCAACTTGGTGGTAGTAAAACAGAATTTCATCTGATTACTACTTAAGTTCAATACCATTTTAATACGATACCCCGTCTCCTCTTTGAGCTGCCTGGTGATCTATGCTTTCTCTATTTTTCTACTGGACTTTTTAAAAAATAGTAGGTATTCTTTATATACCCTGGATGCTAATCCTTTCTTTATATGTTACAATTATATGTTTCTATGCATACAATTATCTTCCCTCAAACTTATATTAGTAATCAGTATTTTACAAAAGCAATACAGGTGATTCTCATGGGAAAACAGACTCAAGGAACATTGCTCCTCAAAAAATTTCAGAAAACTACTCTAAGTAGCAATGAAAAAAAAATGGTACATGTTATCATGCTGTACCTCCAACTGGCCTTATCTCAAAAAGAGGTTAAAAAAAAAATCTCACTGTGTATTCATGTTACATTTCTTTAGTTTCTCTTCCAGTTCAGGTATATCTCGGAGATCTGCTCCAATGATGGCATATCTTGTTGAATCCAATATGTGCCCATCTGTAAATGTAAGAAGAGATTATAATTTCAACAGAAATTGATCAAGAAGAGATTATAATTTCAATGGATGTGACTTTTTCAAAACTAAAGTAAATGTATTGTTTTCTCCATTATAAAAATGCATGCTCGCGCTTCCCTGATGGCACAGAGGTTAAGAATCTGCCTGCCAATGCAGGGCACACGGGTTTGAGCCCTGGTCAGGGAAGATCCGGACATGCCACAGAGCAACTAAGCCCGTGCTCCACAACTATTAAGCCTGCATTCTAGAGCCTGCGAGCCACAACTAATGAGCCCGCATACCACAACTACTGAAGCCCGCATGCCTACAGCCCATGCTCCACAACAGGAGAAGCCACCACAATGACAAGCCCATGCACCACAACAAAGACTAGCCGCCGCTCGATGCAATTAAAGAAAGCCCTCGCGCAGCAACGAAGACCCAACGCAGCCAAAAATAAATGAATGAATGAATAAATAAATTTATTAAAAAAATAAAAATAAAAATCCATGCTCATTATGGGCAAAAAAATCAGGTAAGAGGAGGGTGAAAATTAACTAAAAATCATACCTTCCAAAGACAACTATTAGTATTTTAGTGTATAACATTCTAGCCTTTTTTCTATGTGCTTAAACTCTTATACACAACACGGACACATCCTTTCTCGCTCTCTCTCTCTCTCTCTCCCTCCCTCCCCCAAACGCGCGCGCGCGCGCACACACACACACACACACACACACACATACGCAAACACCCTGCACAAAAAAAGATAATGGGGTCACCCAATACTTGTTTTGAAAGCTTTTCCTAGTTAACAATAGTATCACTGACATCATTCTCTATGATTTCACCATGCTCCACGGAGTAGATAAAACAACTTACTTAGCCAATCGCTCAATATTAGACAGGCAGTATTTCCAAGTTTACTCCATCTCAGGCACTGCAACGAACATCCTTGTATACATGTCACAAAGGACTTGTCTGTCCAGTTACGAAGGTTATGATGAGAAGAATTAGGAGATCAAAGAGTAAGCCTATTTAAATATTGGTACCAATTGCTCTCTAAATGTTTTGTCAATTTGTGAGCTATTGTGTTTAAAAGAAAATAGTTTATGTACTAAAGAATTTACAAATAAAATATTTCCTTTAAAATATTCCACCAGAGGTTGGATGGAATGGTATGTATAGTAGTTCTCAAGCTTTGGTAGGCATCAGATTCGCCCAGAGGTCTTGTTAAAACAGACTGATCAGGCTCCGGCCCCTGAGTTTCTGATTCAGATTTTTCAAAAGTAGAAATCTGTATTTCTAACAAGTTTCCAGATGGGGTTGATGCTGTTAGCCTGGGACTACACTTTTAGAACCACCAGTACAGATGAAATGAGACTGGCAATAAAGTTAGGCGATGGGTACATGGAGGTTCATCAATCTAGTCAAATTATGTTTGTGTAGGCCTGAAATTCTTTTCAATTTAAACTCTCTATTTTTAAAAATAGATTATAATAAAAATTAAGAAATTAAATTGCTTGATTATTTACCTGAAGCACTGTTCACTCAACTTCCTCAAAGTACAAACCACGGAAGAAGCTGGGACATTCTACAGCCATCCTACATCATTGCTAAGAACTCAGCTTCTCTCCTGAGAACCCACAGCAAAAAGTGTGGGAAAGGTGAAACAGCATGTAAGCAGGTTCTCCCTTATTTTCTTGAGAACCCCATTCAGCGGGTTCAAATACACTTGGCCACACCCCATAAGCTATAAGAAATACCTCCTAGGAATCTGCTAGATGTCAGGAAACCACCAAAGGGCAAGGCTGGGAAACCCAGAGTCAGTCCCAGGCACCATAACACCTGAGTCCAGAAAAGAATATCAAGGATGTGAAGGCACTTGCTTGCCCTGCTGTGAAAAAAAGCAGTGATTCCCAAATGCCTGTGTGCCTTCTTACAAATAACATATATATTCAAGATGAGTTTTTCCATCCCTGACCACACACACGCACAGACACACACACAAAGAGACCATCAGAATGTTGAAGCATGTGGTTTCCTTGAACTGTGCAATTCACGGAAGACACATCTTACTCAGAGATATGGATCTAAAGGTAGCACACAAGACAAAAATGGCACATGGTCATGATTACTCTTAAAAATTGAGCACAAGGTCAAAATTGAGCAAGGGTCAATGACCTGGGGCATAGCCAGCAGTGGCCCATCCGTGTGCCCTGGCAAGCTGGCATACTGCCTGGGAAGTGCTGGATGTGATGTCCCCAAGGTCCCACTAATGATAGATCTGATGCTCTAATAACGCACACCACACACCCATCATGATCCCCATGCTCCTCTGAAGTCAGGGGCTACTCGAGCTGTGTAGAAATAGAAGGTCTAATTATCCGCCCTTGAAGGATGCCTTACCTTCATTTCACAAGAAACAGAATGCATTTGGTAGAGGATACAGGCTCAGGGCAAGTTTCAAAGGAGTTTTACTAACTATTCTGGGAAGATATGCCATTTTTATAAAATCTAACTCTAGCAAGAGACCATGGGAACAACAAAAAAACCTTGATACCTTTGGAATGCTTCTGAGACTGGGTGAGAAAAAGACCTTGCTCATCAAAATGAGACCCACAATCCCTTCCTTCTTTTCTATTTTCTACTTCCTAAGAGAAAAACGGGAGAGGATTAAAAGCTTTTTGTGTGATACTCTTATAAGAACAACTTTCTAAAGGAATAGCCCATACTTGCCCAATTCTGGAAAGCCAATTAACATTGATTGAAAACCTCCGAACTGCTACTAGTAGTTCCTTCTGTGATCAATCTTTAGAGGACTGACTTCTAAGAGGATTTAAGAGGGAGAACCCCTGAAAACATAACACCATGATGCGTTTTAAAAAAATTAAGAACCAATTTGTATATGGCCAGAATGAAGAGACAAGTATGAAAATCCTATTACTCAGGCTTGGTCATCATTTCATTCAAGCAGCAGTTCTCAACCAGGGCAACTTTGTCCCTAGGGAACATCTGGCAGTGCCTGGAGACATTTTTGGTTGTCGCAACTGGGGGATGCTAGTGGCATCTAATAGGCAGAGGTTAGGGATGCTGCTAAATATTATAAACTGTGCAGGGCAGCCCCACAACAGGGAATTATCTGGCCCCAGGTGTCAGGAGGGCTGAGGTTAAGAAACCCTGCATTAAACTTACACACAAAAATTCAAAATCACTAGTCGACGTTAAATTTTTAAAATCCTTAAATAGTTCTAATTATTCTTGGATAGGGACAACTTAACATGCCGTAGCTTTTATCCAGGACATGGTTCCCAAGATGAAAACTCTCTTTGGAGTACACCTGCAGAGGAATGGGCTTTGGTCTCAAACATCCCTGACAGCAAATGTCTACTCTGCCAGTTCCTAGTCGTATGACATACTGCTCACGCCTACTTTTAAGTATAAAATGCATACAATGGCAACCTCATACGGTTATGGCTAAGATTAAGGGCGATGTCAAAGTGCTGAGCTCCATGGATCCCAAACTGTACTGAGGTGCCCTGGGGCAGCACAACCAACTCACAAGGGCCGAACAGGATGTTTTAAATTTTTGAGGGAAACCCAGAGATACTCAACATGCACCAGACACAAGCAGACCACCAGCTCAAGGCAGTCACAGTTTCTACAGGAGACTTCTCTGCACTCCTTTTAATGACACCGTATTCCTGCAAAGCTGATTTCTCAGGTGTGACTGTGATGAAAAAGCCACTACTGCTCAAACATCATTTGCAATATTGGAAGAGAAACAGGTGGTAGTGTCCAATCTGGCTCCGAGGCGAGGTCATAAAGGGCCCGACAGGAGCACATATCCCATTAGAAGTAAGTGTGGTTATTTAAGAATGAAATTAAGAGAGTATTTGTTCTTAGAATGTAAGTGGCTTTTTTTTCAAATGACCAAAAAGTTGTTAGGACATAAATACTTACAATGCTTGAACCCAACTTATTAATAAACAGAACTGCTGATATGTCTTTTAACCTAGAGTCATCATGAAAAATTTACTGAGGCACTTAGTAAAGGAAAGTGGGCATGCACTCCTTGGCCTAACTCAATGGTGGTACATCGTGGAGGTCTTCTGTGAAGACCAGACCACAGATGATTAAATCCGGGCAGGTGCTGAGAAGCTCCACCCAGATGAACCCAACTCAAATTGCCAAGCTGCAGGATTGTGAGCTAAACAGACAGCTGTTATTTTTTTGTGTGTGTTTTTTTTTTGCGGTACATGGGCCTCTCACTGTTGTAGCCTCTCCCGTTGCGGAGTAACAGGCTCCGGACACGCAGGCTCAGTGGCCATGGCTCACGGACACAGCCGCTCTGCGGTATGTGGGATCTTCCCAGACCGGGGCACGAACCCGTGTCCCCTGCATCAGCAGGCGGACTCCCAACCACTGCGCCACCAGGGAAGCCCCAGACGGCTGTTATTTTAAGCCACATGCTTTGCAGTGGTTTGTTACAGAGCAAAAGCTCATATAGGCTTTAATTATCTGCCTCATTCAGCTTACACCTATGAAAGGCAGGAGAAAGTGGAGGATTTATACAATGTAACATGGTAGTTAAACACACACACACACAGAATCCACAGGGCATACAAGTCATGATCTCTTCCATCACCTCCAAGTCAGCATTTCAAGAGAGATGTGTTCCTATGTGCTACTGACCTGTAGTGAGTCCCATCAATCCCATTCATTATATGTCTTCAAAGACAGACTTATTATTAGGATTGCAAAGTGTTCTTTTAGGTCCCCAGATTTTCCTAGAACATTTTAGTTTAAAAATAAAAAAGCTGGGATTGACATGTACACTCTGCTATATTTTAAAAGTATAACCAACGGGGACCTACTGTATAGCACAGGGAATTCTGCTCAATGTTATGTGGCAGCCTGGATGGGAGGGGAGTCTGGGGGAGAATGGATGCATGTATATGTATGGCTGAGTCGTTTTGCTGTGCACCTGAAACCATCACAATGTTGTTAATCGGCTATACTCCAACATAAAATAAAAAGTTTAAAAAATTAAAATTAAAAAAAAAAAGTGTTGTAAAATAAAGACAGCCTCAGGTGGATTTCTGGACCACAGAGAAGTTTTGCTTGTTTGTCTGTCCATCTGTCCACCCAGGAATACTTACTGAGCTCTTATTATGTCCTGGGCAGAGTCCTTGGAAGAAACTGATGAACAAAAAGGCACGGTCCTGCCCCCATGGGGCTTGCAATCCAGCAGGGAAGATGAAGAGTGGACAAGTGTGGGGAACACTACAAAGCGGGGTGCAGTCTTTTGGGAGTGCATAACAGGGTCCCACCTCCCTTAGAAGAGAGCCCACACTACTGGGCCTGGCCGAGGAGATCCTGCATGATGCAGCCCCGCCTTCTTCAGCTTCATCCTGAGCCATGCACCCCTCCCCACTGCCAGCTCCAGTCACACTGGCCTTTCGGCTTCCTCGCATGCTCCTCCTTTCCCTAAGCTTGCCTTGTGCCAGACAATCTTCCCCCTAGAGAGTTTCTTCTTCTTACGGCTCAGCTGAGATACCTGACACCACTCTGCAATGCTTTGATTTGTTGCTCTTTTTACTTTATACTCAGACAGTTCCACATCGGAGTTGAGATGGATTACAAAGACACAAACATTCACTCATTCAAGCATTCAGGTATGTATTTATTCCATCAATAATCTCTGTGTGCCAGGCACTGTTCTAGGTGCTGGGGATATAGCAATGAACAAGATAGGAGAGGTCCCTGCGCTCTTGAGGCTTATTCCCTCAAGGAGGGAGAGACGGTGAATCATTAAACAAATGAAGAATCAAGATAGCATCAGAGTATTAAGAGCTATGAAGAAAATAAAAGAGGATGAGAGAAAACTATGCCTAGAGTAGCAGGTGGCAGCTGAGTGGGACATTGGGTGATGAGATGGAGCCCATTAAGCAAAAATAGGGGGAAAGAGGTAAAGAGTTCCAGGCCAAGGGAAGAGGAAAGGTTTGAAGGTGAGAGCAAGCTTGGCACATTCAGAGGACAGCAGGAGGGCAGTGTGGTGAGATAATAGTTACTGTAGTCGAAAATAAAATCAGGGGACTTCCCTGGTGGTGCAGTGATTAAGAATCTGCCTTCAAACACAGGGGACACAGGTTTGATCCCTGGTCGGGGAATTAAGATCCCACATGTCATGGGGCAACTAATCCCGTGTGCTCTAGAGCCTGCACCACAACTAGAGAGCCTGCGTGCCACAACTAGAGAGCCCACGGGCTCTGGAGCCCACACCACAACTAGAGAGAAGCCTGCGCACCGCAACGAAGAGCGCACACACCACAACTAAAGATCCTGCGTGCCGCAACTAAGACCCAACGCAGCCAAATAAATAATAAATAAAAATAAATATTTAAAAAAAGGAAAGAAAATCAGGAGGCATCCAGACACCCAATTAACCATGTAAACTTCAGCACTAGAAAGATTTAAGCAGGAAAGTAATAGAATCTGACTTACTTTTTAAGAACTCATCCTGACTTACTTTTCGTTGTGTGCTCATTTACATACTTTTAATTTCTTACTCTGTGCATAGTTCAGCTTAAGAAAACATCTATCATCAATTCTAAGATGCATATATTTTTCACATTTTAACATTTCTGAAATCTGGATGCATCTAATAGTCGATAATGTATCAGTTTAATTTGTCAGCGCTTTTTCTCTCCTATTGATAAATAGTGGTGATTCTTACAATCACAGCCCCAGGGGTTTGATGAAAAGGGTAATTTTTAAATGAAATTTTTGTCAGTTTTATTATCATCTATCACTTTTCTCAGATTTTCATTCACGTTTTTATTTATTTTTATTCAGATTCCTTTCTCAGTACGATGGCAAGATCAAAAACTATTGATATAAAGGACAAGACTGGAAATTTTACCCACATAAGACACAAACACAGATTAAAAAAAACAAGCAAAAGACTCAGAAAAAAATATACAATAAAAAAAGCTGACAAGAGACTTCCCTGGTGGCGCAGCGGATAAGACTCCACGCTCCCAATGCAGGGGGCCCAGGTTCGATCCCTGGTTGGGGAACTAGATCCCACGTGCATGCCACAACTAAGAGTTCGCATGTCACAACTAAGGCACCGCGAGCCACAACTAAGGAGCCCACCTGCCACAACTAAGACCAGACGCAACCAAATAAATAAATATAAAATCACTGGATGTGATTTGCAAATACTTAGCATCAAAAGTACCTAGAGTTAGAGATATTAAATTTCAGTAAAGCTAAATAAATTACTACAATTTTTGCAATTTGTGCAGAGCTTCAGTTTATAATGTGCTTTTCACATAGATCATCTCATTTGATCATCAGAACTCTGGGTGACATGGGTGACAGTGTTACTCCCCCCATTCTGCAGATAAGGAAACTGAGGGGGGCCCGGGGGGAGCCGCAACTAAGGAGCCTGCCTGCTGCAACTAAGACCCGGTGCAACCAAATAAATATAAATATATAAATAAATACTTTTTTTTAAAAAAGTTGACAAGAGGCTTTTATCAAAGAACATACCTGTATGTTATAAAAGGTTCCTATAAATTGAAAAACAAAGAAAAGGCTGGGGGGAAACAATGCAACTGAAGAAAAAAATGGGCAAAGGAAATGAAAAGGCAATTTACAAAGAAATTCCTAAAGGCCAATAAAACTATAGAAAGATACTCCATCTCACTGGACTCTAAGCATTCAAAGTTATATAAAATTTTAAAACAATGGGACATTGTTACAGCCCATCAGATTGGTAGAAATTTTTTAAAATGATAATATCCAGTGATAGTGAGGGTGTAGAGAAAGAGAATCCTCATCTACTCTTAATGAAAACATAAATTAATAAAATGTTCTTTAAGATCAGTTTGGTAGTAGCTTTTAAAATTCACAATGTCCAATTCTTTGAGCTAGCAATTCCTGCAAATACACACATATATATGTGTTTTCTACAACACTGTTGAATATAAAAAGGCAGCAATCTAAACGACCATCAGTAGGGAAAAGATGAAATAAAACGGAATTTCCATGCAGAGGAGTACTGTAAAGCCATTAGAAATAATGAGGTAGGTTTATATATTCTGACATGAAAAGACAGCCATGATTTACTAGGACATGAAAAGAGCAAGTCACAAAGCAGCATGTATAAATTATTTATTTTATTAAAATTACATATAAACCTATATTTATATACAGAAGTATAGATCCATTAGTTCAACAAATATATGTTACACTACAACATATATTTATTCAATGTGTATATACATTCATTCAACAAAAAATTACTGAGCATTTTATGTGCCACGCACTGGATTATATCTGTGTGTGTACTTTATTATGTGTGATATTTCCCTTTCTCTGGGTAGACTGTTCATCTGCAGTAGAAAATACTCTGCACACTGGTTATCTTGGGTGGGAGGAGGGATTATGCAAAGTCTTTACTTTCTACTTCATATATTTCTACATTGATGGATCAAAGTCCTAGCAAAGTACTAGCACATTCATTGCAGATAATCATTCTGACACCAAATACATAGAAAATTACAGTAGCAAAACTGTACAGAAAGCAAATAGGCCAGCAAATGGCAAAGCCTGAACAGCTTCTACTTACAACTTGTATAAGGGAAACAAAGGATAGGGGAGATATCATCTTCTGTGGAAACTTTATTGGGAATCTGATCACTAGGAGGCTGACTAAAGCACTGTGGTTGTGTAAAAGAGGAAGCGTATCTAATCGTCTGATGTTTGCTGTGCTATCTGTGTCGACCATCCGAGAAGGCCATCCTCTCTAAGCATGTTTTCTGACCCAAATTATTAATAAGGCCCTGGAACCTCTCTGTCAGATAGAGACTGAAAACAATGGAAGATTCTGGAAGAGTTTTACCATAATTCAAAAGGCTTAGAAATGAGGAAAGTGGTGTTGTAAACATTCATAATTAAAACTTGAGGGGACAAACTGACTGCAGGGGCCAAGGAGGTGACATAAACCAGGAAGCAGGGCAGGTGTAAAACAAGAGGGAGTGGTGGGGTCAGAACTGGAGAAGACATGACCCTTCTAAATAAAGTGGCCGCTGCTCAATGACTGCCATGTAGGAGCTAGATGTGATGTTTCCAAGCAAAACTGAAAATCAAGACTTTCAGGAAAAATCTCCCCTTTTTGAAATGTTCACAACGAATTTAAATTATTTTTAAAGAGTGGGGACCTGTGGACATCTAAGAAGAGTCACATCAAAACTGTTTTAAATTCCTTCATAGTAACTGTGGTGGAAGTGAAAATGTATCAGCAGAAGGATATGTGTATTCGCACCCACACACACACACACACACACACACACACACACACACACACACACACACACACACACACACACACCATCTTTAAAAAGAAAAGGGGAAAAAGAGCAAAAATTGTTATATAGCCCAGGTTGTATTATTTAGGTTAAGGATACTTGCCCATTTGAAGTGTGTCCTCTGAATGTAAGTCTAAAATGGGCTTTGACAGGAGAGGTTTCAATCTGTAGATGAGGAAAAGAAAGGCGAGTCAAGCAGCTCATTTACTGCTAAAATGCAGACAGCCACTACAGACATGGCAAATAGGTATCACTACTATTCAAAGGAAGGGCCATGCCAAAGGGTCATCTGTTTAATCACATTTGACCCTAGGCACATACAGTAAAAGTCCAGGGGATACAAGTCAGTTAGGTCAGCTAAGCTTTACACAGAGAATCTGATATCAAATCACAAACTGATCATGACATACGTACTTAGAAACAGCTACAGACAGGCTAGCAAGAATTTGCCAAATGTTCCAGTGTTTTTAGTAACATTTATGTGATAACTCTCCCAATCAAAAATATGCAAAAAAACAGGGAATTCCCTGGTGGTCCAGTGGTTAGGACTCTGTGCTTCCAATGCAGGGGACGCGGGTTCGATCCCTGGTCGGGGAACTAAGATCCCATAGGCCAAGCCCAAAATAACTGATTAACTTCAGCTTCCCATTCATTCATTCAAAAAATATTTACTACACATCTATTCTGGGCCAGGCACCTTTCTATACCCTGACGATAAGTAAGCAAAATACACATAAAAATTCAGATTAATACACAACATTGTTAATTAACTACAGTCCAATATAAAAATTTTTAAATTCAGATTATTAATCTACTCTAGGTCATTTTTTAAATGTTCAGAGAAATTACATGAACGGATAGAAGAGTCACAAAGGAGGGTATATTTCATGTTGAAGACTGCACGATATGTTGGAATGAGTGTCCCGGGGGCAAGAAAGAGGGAGCAGGGGATGAAAGGAAAGCAGTGCCCTAAAATGAGGTCTCCTGCCTCAGACCTGCCGTCTACCAGGACCTGGTTCTGAATCTCACCATGCTCTTGCTTCCAGCCAAAGCCACACTTACTTGATGCTGTGCAGCTTCCTCGTGACTATCATTGGAAAGTCGATTTCAAAATATTTACTTGGTAGAAGATCTTCATCCTGAGAAAAAACACACAGTAATCTTTCTATAATTATTTATTACTCAAACATGTACCTATCATCTTCATGTACCAAGTGCTAGGGCCTGAAGAGCAATGGGATACTTACGGATTTAAAATCAGGGGAATGATATGGTAAGAAATGTACTTTTCAAGTTATTTGGTCTCGGCATAAAGAACAAATGGAGGGAAAAAGGAGATTATTGCCGCTGTCCAGGGGTCAAGTGATGGGGAGCCTGAATCAGGGGAATGGTCACTGGGATGTTAAGAGGTAGACTAGAAGCAGGACATAAGGGTATTTCTCAAAAAAGCAGCTTGATGTGCTCCGCAACAAGAGAAGCCACCGCAATGAGAAGCCTGCGCACCGCGACGAAGAGTAGCCCCACCCCACCACAACTAGAGAAAGCCCTCGCGGAGCAACGAAGACCCAATGTGGCCAAAAATTCATTCATTCATTCATTTCTTTTAAAAAAGCAGCTCGAGACCTATTAGAGAGGGTCAAGAAACCAATGTGGTGGGTTGTGACCAACAGTTTAGGCATGAAATAGAATAAAGTAGCAAATATCAGAAAGCATCACGTGGAATGAGGGATACATTTATTTTTTTCTGTGATAGTGGAGAATAGTGGGGTGGTAAACAGCAGGCACTCTGGAGCCTGGAGGGACAAGGTTCAAATCCCAGCTCCACCACTTGTTTGCTGTGAGGCCTTGGGAAAGTCACTAAACTCCCTGGGCCAAGGTTTCACCATTTGAAAAGTAGAGAAAATAACACCTCATACGGTTGTGGGGATTAATGAGGAAATACGTTGAGTGACACTCAGAACAGGGCCCGCCCTTAGTAAGTACCATGTGTGTGCCCTTATTATTTACAGACATAGGTACATAGACGTGGGTCCTGGCTAGGGATGTACTGTTATTTTTTTACTGTGGCTGCAGTTTTAAAAAGTGTGAAACACACACACACAGCCCTGCTTCCCCCTCGCGCTTTTTTTTTTTTTTTTTTGCGGTACACGGGCCTCTCACTGTTTTGGCCTCTCCCGTTGCGGAGCAACAGGCTCCGGACGCGCAGGCTCAGCGGCCATGGCTCACGGGCCCAGCCGCTCCGCGGCACATGGGATCTTCCCAGACTGGGGCACGAACCCGTGTCCCCTGCATCAGCAGGGGGACTCTCAACCACTGCGCCACCAGGGAAGCCCCCACCTCGCGCTTTTCCTAGCTGAGTCGGTGGCTACACCCCCATCCAGTCACCTACTGGTCATGCTAGAATTATCCAGCTCCTCCTCCCTGTCCAATCAATCCCTCAGCCCGAATGTACACAAATGTCAGATCACTATGTAATACATACTATGCAACTAACATAGTATTATATGTCAAATCACATGATATCGCTTATATGTGGAATCTAAAAACAATGATGCAAATGAGCTTATGTACAAAACAGAAATAGACCCACAGACAGAGAAAAGAAACTTATGGCTACCCAAGGGGAAAGGGGGAGGGATAAATTAGGAGTTTGGGATTAACATACACACTACTATATATAAAATAGATAACCAACAAGGACCTACTGTATAGCACAGGAAACTCTTCTCAATATTTTGTAATAACCTATAAGGGAAAAGAACTGGAAAAGAATAGGTATCTATATGTATGTCTGTATCTCTCTCTATATGTATAACTGAATCACTTTGCTGTACACCTGAAACTAACACAACATTGTAAATCAACTATACTTCAATTAAAAAAAATTATGTCAAGTACTGATACATTTCAATTAAAAAAAAATCACTCAGCCCTGCTGACTATTCTCAAAAGCATCCTGTCCTCCTCAGTTCTATTATCGCCAGCTGTGAAGACTAAAATACCCCTTTCTGCCTGCAACAGCTCTTCACACCCCTAAGACTTAGCAAGAAACAAGGTGCTCCATAACCTGCTACTCTTTTAATATCCTCATGCCCACCTGCACTTATATCCCAGAAATAAAGAGCTACTTATTTAAAAAAAAAAAAAATTAAAAAGAGGAAAGAAAAAGAAAGCTGCTGATATCCAGAACCTGGTGGTGGCTTCTTTGGTGTAGGATGGGATAAAGAAAAAGGAGGGGTAAGGATGTTTCCTTGTTTCTGATGAGCAGACTGGCAGGTAAGAGCACCATTTACACAGACAACAACTAGAGATGAAGGACAGGTTGGGAGGGGCAGCAGATCCCCCCCCCCCGAGGACTGAATGATGGGGGCGGAAATCATCAGGAAGCAGTTCCTGGTAGGAAGGTGACCCCTAAGGGCAAGTAACAGAATTGGGAGATCCACCCACATGGAAAATGGTCCTCAGTTAACATTTCAGGGGATCTGGTCTGGGGGAAGGAGGGGAAGGACAGAGAAGGAAGGAGGAAGAGAAAAAGAAAGAAACAAAACAAAGGGAAAATACGGTTTCTTGACATCAGAGGAGACCTGGACTCACCATCTTCAGCTGTTCACTCCTGGAATTGTAACACATACCTACTACCTGACTGCAGAGCAGGGCTATGTAAAAGCTATCTGAAGATATTCAGAGGTTGTGTTTAAAGGATACACAGAAATAACTTTCTCTAAGAAATTCTACAACACCTTTCAAGAACTTTTACTCACAAGGTATAGAGTGTTAAGAACAGTCTAAAATTCCAGAAGACCACAAGGACAATCAAAAGCAAATAAACGAAGGACAGCATAGTGTCCCACATCTCACACAGGACTTCTGACTTTTTTTTTAACATGTTTATTGGAGTATAATTGCTTTACAATGGTGTGTTAGTTTCTGCATCATAACAAAGTGAGTCAGCTATACATATATATATATCCCCATATCTCCTCCCTCTTGCATCTCCCTCCCACCCTCCCTATCCCACCGCTCTAGGGGGACACAAAGCATCAAGCTGATCTCCCTGTGCTATGTGGCTGCTTCCCACTAGCTATCTATTTTACATTTGGTAGTGTATATATGTCCATCCCACTCTCTCACTTCATCCCAGCTTACCCTTCCCTCTCCCTGTGTCCTCAAGTCCATTCTCTACATCTGTCTTTATTCCTGTCCTGCCCCTAGGTTCTTCATAACCATTTTTTTTGATTCCATATATATGTGTTAGCATACGATATCTATTTTTCTCTTTCTGACTTACTTCACTCTAAGACAGACTCTAGGTCCATCCACCTCACTACAAATAACTCAATTTCATTTCTTTTTATGGCTGAGTAATATTCCATTGTATATATGTGCCACATCTTCTTTACCCATTCACCTGTCGATGGACACTTAGGTTGCTTCCACGTCTGGGCTAATGTAAATAGAGCTGCAATGCACATTGTGGTACATGACTCTTTTTGAATGATGGTTTTTTCAGGGTAGATGCCCAGGACTTCTGACTTTTTAAAGAGCTTTCCGGGCTTCCCTGGTGGCACAGTGGTTGGGAGTCCACCTGCCGATGCAGGGGACGCGGGTTCGTGCCCTGGTCTGGGAAGATCCCATGTGCCGCGGAGCGGCTGGGCCCGTGAGCCATGGCCGCTGAACCTGCGCGTCCAGAGCCTGTGCTCCGCAACGGGAGAGGCCACAACAGTGAGAGGCCCGTGGAGCGCAAAAATAAAATAAAATAAAATAAAATAAAATAAAAAGCTTTCCCAGGCACTCGTGCACTTGATCCTCATAAGAATTCTGAATAAGGGTTAACCGAGGAAGGAAAGCTTACAAAAGGCACACCTGGAACTTTTAAGAAACAGACATGCTCTTTCTCAGCTTTCAGAAACGGGCAAAATGGCTCTGGCAAGTGATGCTTCAACTTTTTATTCCACGATTCTCTGCAGCCCTCTGACACTCCACTCCCAAGTAGCTCACATGGCACAGGAGGCAGGGGAGATACCCAAGGCAGGGCACAGCCACCGGGGGGGAAGCCAGAAACAGCCACGAGGAAGGGTGGCCCTCAGACTCCAAGATCCAAGGTAGTTGACCACTTCACAGGCGGCCAAAACTGAGACTGCTTCCCCTCCATACCCGACCCTTTAGTTGTACAGAAACAGAATTCAAGAGACACCAAGAAGTGAGGCCACTTAAAGGGTTTCACTCACCCTTTATTCTTTGCTCATGATGACACCAGCTTTCCCTGGCCCTGTTTTTGCCTGCTGCCTGAAGATGAGTCTTCGACTGTCCAGTCTTGGGCCCCTGAGATTATACAAGCTCACACGGTAGTGGCCCCAGAAAGCCTGTGACTCGCAACTAAGCCTCTCTGCTGGTGCAGTAGGGGGGCCATCCCAGGTGGAAAGAGCACGAGACTATAAGATCGATGGACACGACTTCCCCTGCTCTTTTATAGAGGCACATATAGCTCTAAAACGGGGATTAACAAACTTTCTGGAAAAAGAAAGTAAGGATTTTAGGCTTTGCAGGCCATAATGGTCTCTGTTGTAACTACTCAGCCCTGCTGTGAGAGCCATAGATAAGATGTAAATAAATGGGCATGGCTGTGTTCCAGTAAAACTTTATTTACAAAAATAGGTGGCTGGCCAGATTTGGCCTGTGCAACCTCAGCTCTAAAAGAGCAAACAAGGGAATTCCCTGGTGGTCCAGTGGTTAGGACTCCGCCCGTCCACTGCAGGGGGATGGGGTCTGATCCCTGGTCGGGGAACTAAGATCCCGCAAGTACGCAAGCGGCCAAATAAACAAATAATAAAAAATAAAAATTAAAGACAAATGTCAAATCAGGGGGAAACCTCACAACAAAATGGAAAAGACAAAAAACAATAATAAAAGAGCAGACAAGGGCTTCCCTGGTGGCACAGTGGTTAAGAGTCTGCCTGCTGATGCAGAGGACACGGGTTTGTGCCCCGGTCCGGGAAGATCCCACATGCCGCGGAGCGGCTAGGCCTGTGAGCCATGGCCGCTGAACCTGCATGTCCGGAGCCTGTGCTCCAAAATGGGAGAGGCCACAACAGCGAGAGGCCTGCATATTCAAAAAAAAAAAAAAAAAAAAAAAAGAGCAAACAAGCATAATTTTAAAAAAAGAGAAACTTGAGATTTTTAAAAATCCCTTTGGATCAATACAATTATCAATAAAACAAAAAATTTCCACAAAGTACTTTAAGGCTCTGTGCTACTCCCCTTCCTCACCTTTGACAGAGAACCTTTTTCTTGGAAGGGGCACATAAGCCTCGGTGTACCTGGCTCAGAAATTAAAATCTCAGATTTATTCATTATTAACCCACCTACAAGATGGGGAAAAAAACGAACCATATGACCAAGTCAAAAGGGTAAAAAGGAGGGATTTCTCCAGCGGCCCCTGTAACGCCAGCAGTGCACACACTCTTACACTACATTCTGTTCCAGTTGCTTCCACCACACCAGGGTCACGGCGTTGCAGAGGCACAATCGACCCACAGAAAAGACTCTCCCTGAACAACCACAGAGCTGTGTGCAGAGGAAAGAGGAAGGAATTGGGAGTCTGAAGAGCTGGAGCCAATGTTGGTTCCACGTCCTAATGCCACTAGCTGTCCAATTTGCGGGAAGACACAGACTTTCAAAGCCCCACTTCCCTCAGATGTGTAAGCTCCCCCAACACAGCTCTTGTGTTAACTAATGACGTCATATATGTAAACGCACTTCATAAATGTCAGTTATCTCATCTAGAAGGAAGAATGCAGAGGCAAACGATACTAGGGCCATGTTGAGGACACTGATTCTCAAGTAACAGAAAGACTGGGAGCTCTGATGACCAAAGACCTTCTTATCAGGTGAGCTAATTAGGGACAAAATAGATAATGCAGGTCAAGTTATGCTTATATACTCTCATCTATCTTGGTCTATGCCTGCAAGAAATCTGGAGAGGGGCTCCCCTGGTGGCAGAGTGGTTAAGAATCCGCCTGCCAATGCAGGGGACATGGGTTCGAGCCCTGGTCCGGGAAGATGCCACATGCTGCGGAGCAACTAAGCCTGTGCGCCACAACTACTGAGCCTGCGCTCTAGAGCCTGCAAGCTACAACTACTGAGCCTGAGTGCCACAATTACTGAAGCCCACACACCTAGAGCCCGTGCTCCGCAACAGGAGGAGACACTGCAATGAGAAACCCACACACTGCAAGGAAGAGAAGTCCCTGCTCACCGCAACTAGAGAGAGCCCGCGTGCAGCAATGAAGACCCAACACAGCCAAAAACAAATTAATTAATTAATTATTTTTTTAAAAGAAATCTGGAGAGACGCACATACCCATTACTACCATGTGACTGACCTGATAGAAGAACCAAGAAAAATCTGTACAAACCTACAAAAAAAAGAAAAAAGAAAGAAACTGCAATCAGTGAGATATTTGTGGGGAAAAGGTTTGGCAATAAAATCCAGCCCAGGAATCAAAGACCAGAACTTTAGTCCTGGTTCTGCCACTAACTAGACCCAAGTTTCCTTTCCTATGAGTGAGTATAATTACACCTGCCCTTGAACCCAAATAGAACAACTGAGGCATCAAATCAGAGAATGACTACAAAAGGGCTTTGCATCATGTTATCATTACCCAGACTTGCAAATCTCCAAACGTTACCTAAGACACTGCGATGCTGACAATAAAATCTTAAGTTATCGTCAAAATTACAAACACGAGTGTTCTTTTGTCTCAGCAGTTCCAAGGGTAGAATCCTTGCTCCTTCTTCTGGTATACTGCCACACGTGCAGGGGAAATGTACCCAAGAATGTTTACTACAGCCCAGTTAGTAGCAGCAAAAGGTGAGAAACCACCCACATATCCTCACTAGGGCTCTGGTGAGATGTAGTACAGGGATGAAGGCAGTTGTGGGGCTGGAGGGCTGCAAAGCAAGGTGGGAGACAGGCTGCCACCGCACTGCATTTTAATCTTTCCTTTACGCTTTTGAACCAGGTGAATGTCTTCAACAAAGTAAATTTAAACAACTGGAAAGAGAAAACGGGAAATTTTAATTTACCTTTAACCTCCAGAAGGTGGTATCCATCCCAGCCCCAAGGTTTAGAATTTGACAATTACATTCTGTCTTCCGTAGAAATGCCTTTATAAGCTGGCTGACGCCATGGACTCGAGCAAAATATCCTAAGAGACAGAGAAGCAAGCTATCACTCAGTGACGACAGAAATAATCCCTGCAAAGCCCACAGTGCTAGGGAGAGCAAAACTACACTTTGCCCTTCTTCAGGGTCAGCGTTTATCTGCAAACTTCATGGGAGAAATAATGACTTTCAAACTCTCTTCCATTTTTTTTTTTTTAAAAAGCTGGTTGAACAAAAATAAGTACTAGCTACTTAATGGTGGAATTAACGATCTGAAGAAAAACAGTGTCCTATACTTTTACTTAGGAAAGACAAGTGTTTTATATCAAAACATCTGATCTAAATGCTCCCCTTGTAAATGTGCTTTTTCACAGCTCTAGGGAAAGCTAATTAGTACTCTGGTAAAACTCAAAATTGCAAGAGTGTGTGGGAAATAATATTTGTAGGTCAGGAAATTGGGCAGATGAATGTCAGTCAAAGTAAAGAAAGCCATGCTTCTTATCTTTTTCCTTTCACCTCCATCTTGTCTGGGTTAGAGCCTCTGTGTTTATAAAATGACATCGCAGACAGCGGGAGGAGAGACACCAGCAAGTGGTGGCCTAATTAATGGACTTGTTAAGCTCTGGGGTGGGGAGCTGGGACAAAGGAGATGGGAAACCCAGAAGGGAGATGGGAAGACAGCGTCTGTCTTGTTCTAAAGGCCTGTTGCTCAAGGTGTGACCTTTTTTTTTTTTTTTTTGCAGTACATGGGCCTTTCACTGTTGTGGCCTCTCCCATTGCAGAGCACAGGCTCCGGATGTGCAGGCTCAGCGGCCATGGCTCACGGGCCCAGCCACTCCGCGGCATGTGGGATCCTCCTGGACCGGGGCACGAACCTGTGTCCCCTGCATCAGCAGGCGGACTCTCAACCACTGCGCCACCAGGGAAGCCTGAGGTGTGACTGTTTTAAGAACAAAATTTGAGAGTAGCATTTAGAAACTTTATTGCCATTTGACAGAGAAATTTTATGTCTGGTGAGTGTGCTAATAAATAATTCGGGGAAATTCCCTAGCAGTTCAGTGGTTAGGACTCTGCGATTCCACTGCAAGGGTGCACGGATTCGATCCCTGGTCGGGGACATCAGGTCCCACATGCCATGCAGCATCGCCGAAAAAAATAAATTAATTAACAAAATAATATAATCAATTTGATAATCCCTACCTTATAAATAAACAAATAATTTGGGCTTGTGTGTACATTTCATTTTCCTAGTAAATCATCTTTATTGTATATTACAGAATATCATCCACAATGGATTGGACTTGGGAGAAAAAAATATGTCTTCACCAAAGACGTTTGGGAAGCGCTCTCCTACTGGGCTGGAGGTCCCCAATCTAGAGACGCAAACCGGGAGAGGAAGAAGGAAGGGGGGCTGACGTGCCGCCTGGAGCACCGAGCCACTTGCCATGGTGGGTCCCTGTCTCTGGAACATTCGTTGGGAAATCTGTCTCAAGAGCTGGGGAGGGAGGCTTAAGAAAGGCCTCTTAACCAGGCCTTGCCCAATCTAACTGATGCCTGGATTCACCCTCAGCTCAAAATGACTACCATGTCCTTCTTCTCAGGACCAACCATTTACAAATCCCTTTGCCCTCTTATAGAACCCCCTACGGGACCCATCTTTAGGGCCTAGATTCCCCACACATACAAGAATTACATTCATTGGTCAGTTTCTCAATCTGGCTGAAACTAAGTCACACTCCTATCTCAACTCCTTCGACTTCCTTGATGGAAACTACTTGCAGAACCTAATAGTGTTACTAACACCTTAATAGGGCAACAACAACAAAAATAATCCCTTATGTGAACAGACAGCTCACAGTAAAAGATATATAAATAGCTTTTATAGTAAAAGATATGTAAATGGCTTTTATATTACTGTAAAAACCATTTTTCATGTATCAGGTGAACAAAGATGAAAAGTTTCATAATACACTGTGCTGGTGAGGAAGTTGGGAAACGAGCACTTTCATACACTGAAGACAGTACACCCCAGAACTCTCTTTTTAAGAATCAATCCCTAAAACCTTAGGCCTCTCAGCTGATGAGATGTCGGGGAGGGAGATGGTCACTTGCCTCTGTTAATTTCCGGGGCCTTCCTCTCTTTAGACAGTCTCACCAAATGCTGGATGTAAGGGTCCTGCCAGTAGCCAACGCTCACTGCAAACCTGAAAGAGATGAAAAAGGAAGCACGTGAGTAGAGAGTAGGTTCAGGCCAGGTTCCACGGCCACATTCCCAGGAACCAGGTCAAGGATCCACAGGAAATTTATTAACCTCAAAAGGCCAAATCATGCAACTAGAGATCATCATACTAAGTGAAGTAAGTCAGAAAGATAAAGACAAATACCATATGATATCACTTATATGTGGAATCTAAAAATATGATACAAATGAACCCATCTATGAAACAGAAACAGACTCATGGACATAGAGAACAGACTGGTGGTTGCCAAGGGGGAGGGGGCTGGGGGGAGGGCTGGAGTGGGAAGTTGGGGTTAGTAGATGTAAGCTATTATATACAGATGGATAAACAACAAGGTCCTGCTGTAGAGCACAGGGGACTATATTCCATATCCTGTGATAAACCATAATGGAAAAGAATATTTTTTTAAAAAAAGAATGTATATATATGTATAACTAAATCACTTTGCTGTACAGCAGTAATTAATACAACATTATAAATCAACCATATTTCAATTTTAAAAAGGTCAAATCACATTTAATGCTCCAGCACAAGCTTAAACAGACTCATCCATCCACCTCTGCATTCACATACACTGCCCATCACATTTCCCACCACGACCATTTCTTACCTCTTCCCCCTTATCACTAATTCCTTTCCCAGGACCCTAAACAGCAAATAACCTCACCTCATACTTCATACAGAAGACCTGCAACCAATTATTCATTCAGCAAACTCACTGGCCAGAGCTAGTCAGATAACTCGGCTCAACCAAAAGTTTTGTGTCCAGGGGAAGGGAGACCCAGAAATATTTGGCAAACATCACTAACAACTACCAAAGTATTTCTCCTGATTTCGTATTAAATACTTGTCCTTTCATGTCCCTTAAGGAGGTCACAGTGGGGAAACTAGGAACAAATAAAACAGCTATAACTTGGAAAATGCTAGGGTAGCCCAAACTCTCTCTAACCCAGTCAACACTACAAGCAGTTAAAGTTGTAGTGTTCCAAGCCTAGGAGCTGAAGCCCTGATTACCACTGGAAGTCTTCTGGCAACCATGAGTGGAACCGGCAAATGAGAAGTCAGGGAAGGAAGCTGGATCCCTAAGGCCACGCCACACCCCTGTGGGCCTGGAGCCTTCTCTACCTGGCAAGGAATACTTAGTGAGATAAGAAACATCTTTACCACTTAAGTCAAATTGAGTCAGGCTTCTGTTACTTGCAGTCTTAAGCATCCTAAGTGATATCCTGAATAATACATCCATTTCCATGTTGCTTGATAAATAAGCTGAAACTTAAGGTGGCTGTGTGTGTGTGTGTGTGTGTGTGTGTGTGTGTGTGTGTGTGTGGTGTCACCCAGCTAAGTTCTAAGCTCCCAGAGCACATATTACATCTTTCCTTTTCTTCATATCTACCAACAAGGCTTACTGCTGCCTTGACAGCAATAGGTGCTGAATTCTGCACAAACATGCCTCCTCCAGTCTCTCGCATCCACGTTTGCACATCCATAGACACCCACAACAAAGCACATATGTTCAACTACTCAAGGCAGCAACTCAACACAGAAACACACAAAGTACTAAGGAACACAATTTGCTATAAGCTCAGACTGTCCAAGGAAAACAGCAGACCCACAGAGTTTTACAAACAAACTTGCTCAGTTGTCTAAAATAGTGCTTTCCAGGAATTCCCCAGCGGTCCAGTGGTTAGGACTCTGCGCTTTCACTGCTGAGGGCAAGGGTTCAATGCCTGGTTGGGGAACTAAGATCCCGCAAGCCACACAGCACGGCCAATAAAATAACAAAATAAAATAACAAAATAAAATAAAAGAGTGCTTTTCAAACAATGAGTTGTGACCCATTCATATCATAAAATCGATGTAATAATTTGCAAATCTCCCTTTTAGAAAATGAAGTAGAACAGAGTAAAACAGAAAATAGCAGCATCATTCCACATTGTAAGAGTGTTTTGTGAAGCTTTCGTTTCAAGTGTGTGTTGGGGGTATAAGTGCCGCGAAAAATGTGTTCTCACTGTGGGTGGCAGTTTGAGGAACACTGATTTCAAAGGAATCATCTCGCGCCATCTAGTGGTAAAAGCCATATCTGCAGTTGAAGCAAGAACGGTAGACCAGTGATGAGAACACGCTGCGAACAATTTAGAGCTTAGAAGGGACCTTAGTCAAGCCCAACATCCAGAGCAAGAATCCTTTCGACAATATGGAGCCACTGTTGACTACTGCCCACAGAGAAGGCACTCACCCCACTGCGAAGAAACTCGAACTGCTGAAAAGCTCATCAATTTGCCTCCCTCTAAGTGTTCCTTGTTGGATTTATTAGTGCCCTCTCGGATAACAAGGAGCAGTTTCTATTCCTCCCAACTCTGCATTATCAGTTGAGTTAATATTACTGACTTGGTCTAGCAATATTTACTGAGTGTCTGCTAAGTGCCAGGCATAGGGTTATAGTGGTGAACAAAATAGAGAAGGGACAGAGACAAAGACAGAGATTATGACAAACGAGGGATATAATGGTATGGCGGATGGAGGACCTACTTTAGAGGTGAAAGGGAAGACCTCTCTTAAAGGGCATGGCTGAGTCGAGTCCTAGAGAATTAGGGAAAGGCAGCTGTGCAAAAGGCACTCTAGGTAAGAGGAACAGCAGATACAAACACTCGGGGGCGGGAGTGCACGTGGAGTGTGCTAGTAGCAGGAAGTAGGCAGGGCAGCGGGAGAAGAGTAAGAAAACAGGAGAAACTGGAGAAGACGCTGGAGAGAGAAGCAGACTCAGGTCGGGCCTGGTAGGAGCCTGGGATGGATCTCCACAACACACTGGACGCGGTCAGTGATGTGCAGCAGTACAGAAAGGTGGGGAGATGCCTGGACATAACACAAGGACCCCAATCATCTGGGGAGATGCCTGGACATAACACAAGGACCCCTGATCACTAGTTCCCATGACTCCTACTTCCTAATTTTTCCAACATGTGTCTCTTTGCAGTCCTCAAATCTAGATGACGGCCAGTGGTTTCCATGCCTCCGAGTTTTAAGGCTCACTGCTTTGCCTGTAAGAGTGGCCAAGATAGAAAGATGTACAACACACTGCTGTGAAGAAGGAAGAGGGTGCTGCTGGGCATTGCTGCTGGGAGCTCTGAAGGGAGGCGGGCACCGTGATTCAGCCGAGCAGATTACGGTGCATCCACACAATGAATACTAACCAGTCATCTGAAACGTAAATTAGAAGAACTGGGGACAGCAAGAGGTTCATGAAACATAGGCTATATTTCATTATATCCAGGATACCACCAATTGTAAGACTGAAAAAAGAAATTAAAGGGACTTCCCTGGTGGCACAGTGGTTAAGAGTCCGCCTGCCAATGCAGGGGACACGGGTTTGATCCCAGGTCCGGGAAGATCCCACATGCCGCGGAACAACTAAGCCCATGCGCCACAACTACTAAGCCTGTGCTCTAGAACCCATGCGCCACAACTACTGGGCCCACGCACCGCAACTACTGAAGCCCACATGCCCTAGAGCCCATGTGCCGTAACTACTGCACCAGCACTCCGCAACAAGAGAAGCCACCACAATGAGAAGCCTTCACACTGCAAGGAAGGGTAGCCCCTGCTCGCCGCAACTAGAGAAAGCCCACACACAGCAACGAAGACCCAACGCAGCCAAAAAATAAAAATAAAGAAAGAAAATAAAGAAAAAAGAAGTTAAAAAACACTGCCAATTAGTTAATGTTTTTCTTATCACTTAGAATTTTAATTTTGTGGTTACTGAAAAAGCTCCTTCATTGGGACAGAGTGTCATCATCTCTCTCTCTTGCACAGACAGAAAAAGGAAAAGGTGAATGAAGTAAGCTGCTAAGACTTCACTTTCAGGATGTCTGTGCCTTTCGACACAATATCAACCTCCGTGCCATCGAGGGCGTTAGCGAGGATACATTCCTTAACAGATCTCCACCATCCTCTCTGAGATTTTCTTCCAAGCAGCTAACCCTCACCCTGGAAGTTTTGATACTGGCTCTTTCTTGATCTCATCAGAAGGTATCAAGGGATGATTTTCAACAGCAATCAGGATCTGGGTTCTTTCTTCAAATCGCCCTTAAACAGTATGTGGACTAAAAGCACCAGGGACTGTGGTCACAGCTGCCCAAACATGCCATGCCAGCAGAAATAATCTCCATGCCTGCTTGCACAGGTAAGGACACCTCTAACAGACTTGACAGTGTCTGCAGGACACATTGAGAGTAAGTCACATCTGATTTCAGAGAAGTTAAAATGCAAGACCATGTGTGTCACAAAATGGCTCAGATGGTATTGTCACATCTATATGTATAACTGAAATCACTTTGTTGTACACCTGAAACTAACACAATATTGTAAATCAACTATACTTCAATTTTAAAAAATAGTATTGAACTGTGAGGAACCACCATTGCCTATGATGACAAGGGACTCGCCAGATGTCAATATTTAGCAACGGAATAGCTAACAAGGGAGGAATATTTGCTTTTTTTTTTTTTGGCTGTGCTACATGCCATGTGGAATCTTAGTTCCCCGACCAGGGATCAAACCCACACCCCCTGCAGTGGAAGCGCGGAGTCCTAACCACTGGACCACCAGGGAAGGCCCAATATCTGCCATTTTTAAATGATGTTATTCTATTTCTTTTTAAACTAAATTAATTATTTCCATCAAAAAGAGAGTATTGTCTTCACAACAAGAGCAACAGTAAGTTTGGATTTCATAAACAAATATACAAGGCAAATAGTACACTAGGAAAAATATTTGTAACAGGTAACAAAGTGCTAATACCCTTACAATATAAAGGACTCATAAATTAATATGGGAAAAAACTAATATTCCAGAAGAAAAAGAATGAGTAAAGGACAAAAATGAACCATTCACAAAAGAAGAAAAACTGACCAATGAACATACAAAAAGCTCAGCCTTATCAATGATTTAAAAAAAAAGCAAAATGA